AAAAAATTTAAGTTTGTTTTTAAAAAATATTTTCAATTTCAAAAATTATTTTCTACCCTAGTAAAAATAAAAGATATTTCTCAAAAAAAAAAATCATTCATAAATCAAACACTAAAAATCTTTTCCGGAAAATATTTTCTACTCACCAACCAAACATGAGAAAATAAGTCAAAAATCAACTTGTTTTCCAGGAAAATATTTTCCATGGAAACATTTTACTTCATACCAAACACACCCACAGTATTTATATTTATTCACTGGCATCATACATCATCTTAAAGCAGCATTGAATTATTACCCAATGAGTTGAAATCAAGGCCCGAGCAATCGCCACGTGAATTATATTGGGAAACGCAACATTTAATGCTTGCAAGATAAGAGTATTTGTTAGCAACAGCAAAAGCAAAATTTAGTGGGAGAAAGGAACAGAGCATGTGGAAGAGTGTGTAATAGGGCTTAGTATTTGAGTTTGATTTGGGGGAAGAAGATTGTTATTGGAGTAGTAAAATTGAAGCCATGAATGGAGTTGAGGAGGATGTGTTAGGTGAACTGAGAACAACATTCAGGAGTGGAAGAACCAGAAGTGTTGCATGGAGGAAAGCACAGCTTCAAGCAATTCTCAAACTCCTTGATGAAAATGAAGAGGAGATCTTTGAAGCACTTAAACAGGATCTCGGAAAGCACCCCGTTGAATCTTATCGTGATGAAGTGAGTACCTAATTTCTCCATTTTTGGTTTTTAAACTGAGTTATGCATCTGCTGCTTTAGTTTCGTACCCTGTTAATTTTTCATATTAGTTATAAACCAAATTTCTGCTTCAGTAATATACGTAGCACTGTTTATCAAAATTGGAAGTTGTATTCGTTGGATGTGATATGTGGATGCTTTAAAAACCTACAATTACGAAGAACAGGGCACTAGCAGCTTCAATAGAAAGCTAATCGTGAAAAAAGGTGGAAAAAGGTAGAGAGTAAATGCTGGATAGATTTTATTGATGATCGTTTGTAAGCTTCCAAACAAGTTGAGCATAGAGGCGTTGATAAAAGTGGTAGCAACAGCTGAGCTAAGAGCAAAAGTGTAAGTGAGCGATAGAGTGTAGATGGGTAAGAATCTGAGGATCCCCTTTTATTAGAGGACCCGGAGGGTCCAATAGCTAGGGATTGAAAACGATCCCTGATCAGTAGGAAACGGCCTCTTGATTTGTGGGTGATGGTTGCAAGAATCTCGGAATCCATTGAGAAGCATGGAGCAGTAGCGAACTAGCGGTTGTGCTGGAGTTAATCGGAAGTGGAAGATGTGGAGCAGACTGGTATAATTAGGCAGTTCGTGCCTGATCAATGGTAGGCACGCTATTCAGGCGTCCTGGGACATCGTCTGTCTTCTGATTTGCACATGCTGAGATGACTCATCCTACCTCAGGAGTAGGACCAAAATTTACTGCTGCAATGATCAACCTATCACGTCATTAAACAACTAAAAATGGTGTATTTATTGATCCAATGCATGACCAAGGGATTGGTTTTTCACTCATTTCAGGTTGGTGTGGTGAGGAAATCAGCTACCAATGCTTTGCGCTGTGTTGAGAAGTGGATGGCCCCTCAAAAGGTTTGTAATTCTTACCCCTCCCCCCTTCCCCTTGAGAAATAAATAAAATCATCCTCAACTGTTCAAGCATTCTTTGCAAATATCTTCGTTGAAATTAGTTATCAAAAGAACATCTTTGTTGAATTATCCTTAACGAAGTAACACATTCTGAATGTTGGCTGTAACAGCTCCTCTCTTTTCTTTCTTGAATAAGTATGTTAACTATGGTAGAAACAAGTATATTCATTTATACAACTGCCCTTGTTAAGAATTAAGATTACTATGTATCGTCTTACTGGTGAATTGTCCAAGTTTTGCTGTCCAAAACAGTCTTACCGATACAAGCAGGCCAGTAAAACTTTGACAAGCTTGAAACAGACTTAGAATGGAACAGATTAAAATTGTTCTGTTCTGTTACTAATATGTTAAGTAGTAGCAACAGGAGCTGCATCACATCCTACAAAAAAGCGTTACAACAAATAGTACATAAAACAATCTGCAGTTCAAATGAATTGTTCAGTAGCAATCAATCCAGAAGTAACAATGAAGTAAACCTTGTGATACTATGACCTTATTGAGACATCAAAGTGCTCTTTACTCTCTCTGTGTGAAAGCTGGTAAATATCTCTTTATGTTTACTTGCTTCTTGGTCATCTAACCAGCAAGTGAAAGTTAAAATTGTTCTTTTATTCATGTTGCTCAGTCATTTGACAGCTATTTTGTGTTTATCTATAACTTATAAACCAAGGTGTTGAGCAGCCACTAATGATGCAATATGAGCAGGCCCCAATACCATTAGTTCTCTTTCCTGCAAGAGGAGCAGTAGTATCAGAGCCACTGGGAGTAGTGCTATTATTTGTGTCCTGGAATTTTCCCATCTGTGAGTAAAATCTTCTTGACTAATACTGCAACTGTCCCATCTCTTCTTTTCTAGTTGCGGAGAAATGTTGACCATCCTAGAATCAAACTAATTCCTTGAACAAAATGACCATCAGGAGCCAAACTAATGTGGATTTTACGTTCTTAGCTGGTTGTCCACAATTGTTGCTTTGTGTTTATTAGTCTGTTATTTCATCTGCAGCCCTAACTTTAGACCCAGCGATTGGAGCAATTTCAGCTGGTAACACAATTGTCCTCAAACCTTCAGAGCTAGCACCAAAATGCTCCTCCGTTCTGGCCAATACAATACCTCGTTACTTGGATCCAGAAGCTATTAAAGTTGTTGAAGGTGGACAAGATGTATCAGAACAACTACTGCAGCTAAAATGGGATAAGATATTTTTTACAGGTATAACCTAGCCATTTTGTTTCCAATGATCTTTCTCATGTTTGGGAAGAGCATTTTAATTTGCAGAAGGGCATTCAGCAATAAGAATAATTAAGGAATGACCTAGAAGAAAGAGTTGTTACTTATGTTTGTCATCAAAAAAAAAAAAAAGAGTTGTTAGTTATGACCAGCCACTTGTGTTGATGATGTAATTCTGGCTTCCTGTTTTGCAGGTAGTCCACGAGTTGGCCGCCTCATAATGTCAGCAGCTGCGAAGCACTTAACACCTGTGACTCTAGAGCTTGGTGGAAAATGTCCTACCATCTTGGACACGCTATCTAGTTCCTATGATTTACAGGTTCCCAATGGTTAAATATCCTCTTAATGTAATAATTATTACTTCATGTTTCATCTAAAAAGAAAGTTAAGCTATAAACTGTAAGGGCTAAAACATCTCCCATACGGGACAACTTTATTTGTGGCAAATGAAAGGAAATCGACATATAGCTTGAGTACAATTGGATATTTTTGTCATAGTATATTTCACCAAAAAACTCGGGTCGCATTATGATGAGGAGTAGAGTATATAATTTGTTCAAGGCCGTATTCACATTTTGCTCACAGTACGATGTTGGTTTTAAGGTGGCTGTCAAGAGGATAGCGGGGGGCAAGTGGGGACCATGCAATGGACAAGCATGCATAGGAATCGATTATGTGCTCGTGGAAACACAATTTGCTCCGGTTCTGGTATTAATGGCAGCATGAGCTGTTATATTTATCTTTTCCCTCTTTCTTTCTCAGTAAAAGTTTAATTCTATTTGTCTTTTTGAGGCAGATAGTGTAGCCACCTATTTATGTTGTAGTTTCTGGTATTTCAGATTGAACTATTGGAGAAAATCATCAAGACATTTTATGGTGAAAACTTGAAAACTTTGGGAAATCTTGCCAGAATAGTGAACAAGCACCACTTTGATAGAGTACACAATCTTCTGAAAGATCCAAAAGTTGCAGCATCTGTTGTTTATGGAGGCTCAGTAGATGAGGAAAATATGTAACCCCAGTATCCTATATCCTATTCTACTATTGCTTACATACCCTGTTCCTCATTCTATTTGATGTATCTTTTAGGGTCATTGAACCAACAATCTTGTTGAATCCTCCACTTGATGCTGATATCATGACCGAAGAAATATTTGGCCCATTGCTTCCAATCATCACAGTAAGAGCAAACTGATTTTCAAGAAAATTCGTTGCTATGTTTTACTTGAGAAACGTTGATCTATGCTTCCAATTGGAGTAAAAGGACTTCACTCTCGATTCACTTCATCAGAGAATCTCTTTCAAGAAAATGTCTGACAAGAAAGTGGTTCTTTTAACAGCTAAACAATATCGAAGAAAGCATTCAGTTCATAAACTCAAGGCCAAAACCTCTTGCAATATATGCATTTACCAAGAATGATTCGTTGAAGGAGAAAATCTTGCAGGAAACATCTTCCGGAAGTCTGACTTTTAATGATGCTATGATTCAGGTATGAGGATCCACCTCCTCTTTCAAATGTATCCTCATTCCCTCAGCTAAATATAAGCAGAAAAAAAGGGAGATGTTTAATTTACTTGTCATAATATTGCAATTTCAGTTTATATGTGATACATTACCATTTGGAGGCGTTGGTCAGAGTGGCTATGGACGTTACCATGGGAAGTTCTCTTTTGACACATTCAGTCATGAAAAAGCAGTTCTACATAGGAGCTTATTAATTGAGTTGGAATCAAGGTATCCTCCATGGAATAATTTCAAGTTGGAGTTTGTCAGATTGGCTTATGACTATGACTATCTTGGGCTTATACTGCTCTTGCTGGGGTTGAGAGGAATATTCAGAACAAACAGAAGGCAGTAGAAGATGAACTCTTCTCACTCAAATAAAGGTTAATCCATCATACAAAAGTGTCTTACCAATTATTAAGACAACTTAATGTTGTCACTGCTCTCTCCAGTGAGAGTGCGAAACTAATTAAGAATTATTATTTATATCCAGAAATCAATTGAAGTTGTCTTATTTGTTTCTATATTACAAACAAAATAAATGAATATTCATGAAAATGATCGTTCTACAGAATTGAGTAACTTGTAAATTGTTGTCCCCTTTCTTTTTTTTTCTCGACTTAGACGAACTATTAATTGTTGTTAAGTTACTAGAATTGCAGTTCTCTTTCTGATGTGATTCGTCAAACCTGTTGAAGAAAGAAACATGCTTGCTGAATAGATTGCTGCCAGGAATTTGGAATTAGGATTTTGTTCATTTTAATAGAAGCATAGACAAAGTAACATAGCAAATCCTCTATAAATTAAGGGCCCGTTTGGCATGCGATATGATATCATGATATGGAATCATGGGATGAAATTGAAATTTTGTTTGGACATGTGATATGGAATTTTTGTGTTGTATATTTACTCATAAACATAAAAATCTCATAAGTTGTAAAACTATTAAAATAGCCCCAATTGTTTATTCAATCTTATCAAATAAACAAAAATTTATAAAATCGCATAATAAATTATTACAAAGCTATTTGTTCTCCACTTAAGTAATAATTGAATCTAACTTTAATTTAATAAAAAAAATGAACATAAATTGTAGTGTACTAGTCTTTAATATAATCCTCCCACATAGTACAGACAATTTTCTCACGTTGAACTTGCATTTCTCAATCATGTGACCGAGAAGACAAACCAACATTGTTACTTAGAGCAATTTGTTGGTCAATATCATCCACAACTATATTTTCATGCTCATAGACCATAAATATTTCATCACTTTAACAATCGGTTGGTGTGAGTTAAAGTGACTATATGTTGGTGAGAATAATAAATTTTATGTCGGTGAGAATAATGAATTTTAAAAAGTAAAGATGTGATTATAAATTTTATTTACATATGAACTAAATGGTTAGTAGATATAAATGTGGGGTTGTTTTAACAAATTATAAACTCGTGGATCAATTTTTGTATTAAAATATCTCAAATCATGATATGGAATTACAATTCCATATCATAGTTTTTGGCGAATATGGAATCATGAGATGGAATCAGCGTAAAATCGCATGTCCAAACGCTGATTCCATCTCACGATACCTATATCGTGATATGATATCGCATGGCCAAACGCCTACTAAGTAAAAAGATACCCTCTGTTCAAATAATTTCTCAAGCTCGCTAAAGATAATTCACCAATTAATTGTCCAAAACACATCATTGATAAAATATTTTTTTGAACAGGTGAATAACTACATTCTATTCTAATCACGGATAGTATTATATTCTCTTTGGCTCAAATTATTTATCATAATTTTTATAAATAATTATCTCAGATTATTTGTTAGAAAATTGATATAAAAATAATTGTTTCTTTTTATTTATCATTAAGCCGTAAATGTTCTTGAAGACTACAACAAATTAATTATAAAGTAAATATTTAATGAAAAATAAAAATATATCTCAAATATAAATAAGGATAAGATCTACTTCTAGTTAAATTTTTTTTTATAAAAAAGGTAAAGAGAAACACGAAAAGTAATTTAAGAGAAATACAAAATATAATTTGAAATAGGAAGTATACTTTTTTTTGAAAAATAAATAAAAATATTTAATGCAATTTGGCATAGAAGAAAAGTTGTCAAGTTGACGAAAAAGGCTTGGAGGCGAAAAGAGCTGTCCGCAGCCAGACGAATTGCCTTTGTTTTTCTATAATTAAAAATCAGACACATTATTCATCACGTGACTGGCACAAACGGTGCACGCGGATTGGTTATATGAGGAATGACCCTTTCTGGCCTCTCCTTGTCCAAAACGACGCCATTGAGAACCAATCTTCCTCATCGGCAACCGGAAAATGTCCAGCGCGTCTCTGCTTTTCTCATGCCTATAACAAATTTGACTTTTGGACGAATCCATACTGTCAATCTGATCCGATTTCGTCACCTTAGATTTCCATCAAGCCGTAATTTCGCTGCACTCAAAAGTTCGATGGCCGAGGAAGCGAATCTCAAAAGCACCGTAGAGTCAACGATGGATAACAAGATCACCATAGAGTCAACGAAGAATAACAAAACGGAATCTGAGAAGAAACAGGAAGAATCAAAGGTTACCATACCGCCGCCGCCGGAGAAGCCGTTGCCGGACGATTGTTGTGGTAGTGGATGTGTTAGATGCGTGTGGGACATGTATTATGAAGAACTCGAGGAATACAATAAGCTTTACAAGAGCAATCCAGATGTTAAGCCTTCTTAGACTTGTTTAGAATCTAGAATTCATATATTCATGTGTGTTCATATGAATTATTGTTTGTCATTTATTCATGATTAAATTATTGAAGACAGATTCTTTGTAAAATTCACCGTTGTTGTTTTTTACTGATTTTCTCTTTACGGTATGGAAACTAGTCTTGGCAAATAATGTAAGCAAAGATACGAAAGCAACTTGTAAATTATTTTGAGATCTTGTCTAACAAAGATTAGAATTTGATGCAGTAATAGAGCATTATAAAAGCCAAGGCAAAGGTTGTATGAATAACAAGAAGTTCAAATTCTAAAAAATATATATATGAATATCGGAAATAACTCAAATAATGAGTCATTAAACTATATTATATTAATTAGATATTTTAAATAAAAAATTAAAATATTTAAAAATTATACAAAAAGTACTACATATTATAATTTTTATATATCAATATAATGAAAAGTTTAACTCTAAGGGTGTGTTTGGTATGAAGGAAAATGTTTTTCTGGAAACAAATAGATTTTTGACTTATTTTCTCAACGTTTGGTTGGTGAATAGAAAATATTTTTCGATTTTTTTTTTAATGTTTGATTTATGAATGAAAAATGTTTTTGAGAAATATCTTTTATTTTTACTAAAGTAGAAAATAATTTTTGAAATTGAAAATATTTTTTAAAAACAAACATAATTTTTTTTTGGAGGGAGGGTAGGGGCGAAAAAATAAAAATTTGAAGTTGAAAATATTTTTAAAAAAACAAATTTAAATTTTTTTTGAGGGGTGAGGGGGGGTCGAGAGTAGGGGTGAAAAAATGAAATTTTGAAGTTGAAATTATTTTTTAAAAATAAACTTAAAATGTTTTTTT